GTAGGGAAAATGAATGCTAATTAACCTTTGTGTCATGTTCTCTTCCAGATACTTCTGTTTCTCCTCAGCACTCATATCTTGCAACTTGAGTTCCAAGGCCCCACTAAAAGGAATGACCAAAGCACCCGGGTCGTGCTTGTCCACCCACTCTTTAATTTTTATCAACCTGTAGACAACAAAGGGCACAACATTATCTTGTAGTGCATGCATGGCTGTACCACATTCATTATTATCAAGTAGCACATACATATTCATAAGAATTGCACGGATTTATGATGCCATCTTTTTGTGTATTGCTTTCCAAGGTCAAGGCATTAACAGGCAGCAATTGCTTCAGGTGTACTCCATTAACATTTCACTGTTTCTTGGTTTCTGTTTGGCATTTAATCTATCAGAAATAGGCATAATTTGGGACAATAACGAGGGTGTTTGGTAGAGGTTAAATACTTGCAATCTAAAATGTAGGAATAGAACTTTGTAGATCTGTCGATGTACATTTTTCTAAGAGAAAAATGCACTTCAAGAGGATATTTATCAAATGCAATAAAAATGAGGGCCCTTCAGTTTTGCCTCTGACTTTATTCTTCTTTTAAAAGGCATCTCAGTGGCTATGGCAGCTGATATTAGCAGGTAAGAGAAGAATACTACACTCTACAAACTCTTAGATAGCAAGCTGCACCCTGCTTTTTCTGGCTATTGATCTTGGAGTACACCACAGCTGATGAATACAGGGCCATGTTTCTACTAGTTTTTCCCACCTTTCCACCACTACCCCAGGACAAAGCTTCTGGATATTACACTACAGTGATTTTTAAATAAGGAATACAATTTCCTATTTCTCTTAATCTTCAATAACTGGCACAATCAGTAATAGTTTGCTGTTCATCTAATTTTCTTTTTAGTTGAACAAAACAACAAATTTATAGCTATAGACTTAGGGTGTTAGTTTTTGAATGTTCAATATCCTATTAAAGTTAAGCAAAACTGACAGCCAGGAGGGCCAACTGTGTCCTGGGATGCACCAGGCAACCACTGCCAGAGGGAGACAGAGGTGATTGTCCTGCTCTGCTCTGTGCTGGTCCAGCCTGACCAGGGGCAGTTTTGGGCACCACAATACAAGAAAGTTAATAAGTTATCAGAGAGCATTCATCAAAGGAGGCAATGAAGATGGTGAGGGGCTTTGAGGGGAAGCCTTAAGAGGAACAGCTGAGGTCACTTGATCTGTTCAGAGAAGAGGAGACTGAGGAGAGACCTCATCACTGGATACAACTTCCTCACAGAAGGAAGTGGAGCAGCATTGATCTCTTCTTTCTAGCAACAGGACCTGAGGGAATGGTCTGAGTTGGGTCAGGGGATATTTAGGCTGCAGATTAGAAAATGGTTCTTCCCTCAGAGGGTGTTTGGGCACTGGAACAGCTCCCCAGGGCGGTGGTCACAGCCCCAAGCCTGACAGAGCTCAAGAGGTGTTTGGACAATGCTCTCAGGCACGTGATGTGATTCTCAGGGACGTTGTGTGCAGTGCCAGGGGCTGGACTTCGATGATCCTCAAGGGTCCCTTCCAACTCTGAATATTCTGTGATTGTGTGAAAACTTTACAGCAATAGCTGGTGCTTAGAAAAATCTTCATGACAGCAAGTACTATTGATTTTAAATTTAAGGGAGACATTTATCAAATACCTGTGAGCAGTTCACTATTAATAACTGCTAGGGCACTATTTCTGGGCAGGGGTGAATGCTAAGAATGACAAGCAACAGGAGAAGCATGGAAATACTTCCTGTACACAAATAATCAAGTTACACACCACAGTACTTTGGGTGCTGGAGATGCTTCAGACCTGAAGCACCCACCATACAGCACAGGGCTTTATGCTTGCTGAGTTCTTTTTCTTAGTCCTGCTAATCTGCAAGATTTAGACTAAGGTTTTAACTGCTATTATACTAAAGTGCTTTGAAACTGTAGCCTGCAAACCTTTAAATAATCAATGCAAATGTCACTTCAGAAAAAAATTAACTGAACCACAAGTTCATCAACACACATTTGTCAAAGAAAATAGCAGGGGATCAGAGCTATTATGAGATTAAGTGCATGGCCCACTGAGTAGGGTTTTAGATGGGACAAAGAATACAGAAGTTCACTCAACAGTTTTCACACGTTTGTTATATAAGGCTGGTCTTCTATCATTTACTTATGTAAATACCCCATCAGTGGTTTTCAATCCTCATTATACTAATCTTTCTTTCCCTCCAGTTATCCAATGAAAATACAGTCTGGGATCCAGGACTGATACTGAAACACTACTGCTTTCAGAAATGTCTGAGCTGAGAATTGCAATTAAGGTGTGTTTCTAAATGTGACATGTGACATTTACCAGCACTTCCAAAGCTGACATTTGTAGTTAACTGATTTATTTTGGCTAACAAACTGGGTATCAAAGTTCAGAGGTTATAAATTCCAGCCTTTTTACAGTAGATATATCTCAAAATTAATTTACTATTCATAAGTGTACTACAACACCTGTGCACACATCTTTTATAGACTTTTTTAAGGGACTATCTTAAACTGCTCCGTAGACTGATTAAATAATGTGCCAAGTGACAGACAGAATGAAACCCGCAAAATTAAAAAAGGGAAATGAACATGAAAGTAATGACAAAAATTGAATTCAAATTCTGTTTGGTAAATATGGTCATCATAACTAATAAACTAAGAACTATTGTGGAACAACAAGATAAGAAATAATTACTTTGGCTAAAACACCAATTCAGAATAATAATAGTCTTAGATTGTCATTTTAACAGCTTTTCTATTGAGTCCTTAGAGGGATTATTTGCATTCCTCAGGTATTCTATTGTACGATTCAGATGAATAAAGACTTACAAATCATTCCTCTACCGCCAGTGTGAGACTTTGATCCAGTGAATACACCATTGTACCTTAACTATAATTGGCAAAAAACCTGACAGTGTAGAGCATCACAAGCTTAATAACAAAGGAGAATATCTCAAAGTGTTGACAGATGATCTTCATAATGCAGGAGCAGAGCTGGTACATTTTAGCAATAAATGAGCACTGAGGTCTAAAGGTCTCTGAAGTGACTGACATCAGACCTGCTACAGCCTCACTAAAAGAATGAGGTACTGCATCCTACTCTGTACAGACAGTCGCGTTCTCTGTCCAAGTCTTTCACTTTTGTGACTTTCAATGTCACGGGAATTGCTAAGTACCAAGGAATTCCCCTAACACTGATCAAAATAAAGAAAACAATAAAAAAAAGTAAACACTCAAATATAAATACTGATAAATATCAAAATTACATTTCCCCAAAGCAAAACACTTGACTAATAATCAGTAAAACAATAGCGCAAGTTTGCTTTCCTGTGCTAAACAGAACAACATCCTCTTAACAAATGGTAACAATTAATGCCAAAGTCTGTTTTATCTGAGCACATAATTTTCCCATGGAAATGATGTATGTCTGTAAAAGGACAGCATTAGTAGACTAACTTGGACCTTTGTTAAGACAACCATATCTCCATTATTTCATGCTATACTTGAGTGATGAAGGGTATTGGATTTTAGGCTTAGAGAAAAGACTTTTGACACTTAAGAAAAAAACCTAATTGTTACAAAATGAAAAGTGGAAAAAAACCCAAACAAAACAAAAACAAACCCCAAAACTCCAAACATTAGAACTGGCAGCACCAATGACCATGATGAACAGCTGAAACTACTTTAAGAAAAAAGAAATTGCTCAAGGTGAAAACTCTTCTCAAAGTGAACCGACTATGTGAAAACAGTGCACATATGGAAAGCAGTTTAAAATATCCTCTTTCCTAACCGGGTTTCTTAAAATGCCATTATTAGCAGAGGTACAACTAAAATCTGCTTACACAACATAAAGTAGAAAGAAGTTTCATACTATTTATACTGAGTACTACCTCAGTAATAATAGCAAGGGACCTCTTGGAGCATTTCTGGACATCCAACAGCCTTTCCCTGCTGAGGTGGCTTGGTTCCTCCCTCCAGTGTGGAGAGAAGAGTGTGCCAACAACAACTACAGAGGGTTTCTGAATCGAAATTTGGTTCTATTTGCCACAAAATGGATAAAATATTATTTCTGGAAAAAAAAACAGACCCAAAAGACAGCAAGACATCCATTCATTCTGTGATGGCAAAAAGAAAACCATATATACAGCTGTGTAAAAACCTGACATGAGAACAAAACCGAGACAAGTACAAAACCAGATCTGATCAACTTGCAAGTGAAGGCAGCACTCAAAATTCTGACCAGGGAAAACAGCAAAGAGGAATTCAGATGCTCACTTCCACCTAACACTTACTGTTGTTTCACAAGGAGGTGATGAGTATCAGAAACATATTGGCACATTTACTAAACAAAAGGCACCAGTGACTTCAAGTGAAGAAGGACCAGGACAAGTACCAGAGTTAACTCCTTATACTAAATCAGGATGCAGAAGACCTTGGAGAAAGGTTTAAAAATGAGGGCACTCTCTGAGAAAGCCAATAAGCAAAGAGCACCAGAAAGGGGAGCTGTGCAGAAATTGTGCGTTCACTTTAAAATGGTGATACTTGCTGAGGCAGAAGAAACCAAAACCTGCAGCCAACCAAAATAAAAAGGTATAAAAGTTGCAGAATGTACATTAACTACAAATCAATATTTGAGAGAGTTTCACATGAGATCCAGCTGGGAAGAGAGACAGAGTTCAGATGGAAATCTGAAGCAGTGATGGAAGAGAGAAGATGCAGAGAAAACTCAAGCTCAGTGGACACCTGCAAGACAAGATGATCTGAAAAACTGACCCCTGAAAAGAAAGGTGATTTGTCAAAGTAAGCTTTTGTACAAGCAAGACCAAAAAAACCCCATCTAACCATAGAAGAAAAACAATTGTTTTTCTGTTCTACACCTGAAGTATGGGTGGAAAATTGCAGAAACAAAAAAGCATGGGAAGAAGAAAACATCAGGCAGCACAAGAAGGAAGGAAACAAATGTAGATAAGACCAAACTAAATGATCAAAATATACCTAAGACTTCAAAAAAGACCCACAGAGAGGAATGAAAACAAGAGGACCTAGCAATTCCAACAGAGTCTTCCTGTTGGCAGCTCTGAGCAATCCCAATTTTTAAAACCTTCCAAACTCAATCT